CCTATCAGCTCCACTATCCATCTTTTATCACCGTCTCCCCCTCTCTCTATTTATTTCAGAGACCCCTTCCCATCCCCCATTTCTGAAGAAGGGTCCAGACCCGAAACGTCAGCGTTCCTGCTCCTCTGATGCTGCCTGGCCTGCTGTGTTCATCCAGCTCTACACCTTCTTATCTCAGACTCCAGCATCGGCAGTTCTTACTATCTCTGCACCCTAGGTCTCTTTGTTTGGAGACTCTCCCCAGTGCCCTACTACTATTGTACAAGTCCTGCCCTAACTTGACTTATCAAAATGCAACATCTTACATTTATCTAAATTACACGCTATCTGCTACTCCTCAGTCCGTTGGCCTATCTGATGAAGTTCCCATTGTATTCTAAGATAACCTCTCTTACTGTCCACGACACCACCAATTTTGGTGTCATCTGTATACTAACTAACCATACCTCCTACATTCACATCCAAATAATTTACATAAATGGCAAAAATCAGTGGACCAAGCACCAATCCTTGTGGCACACCACTGATCACAGGCCTCCAAGTCTGAAAAACAAGTCTCCAACACTACCCTGTCTCCTACTTTCAAGACAACCCCCTGAATTCCATGTGATCTAATTTTGCCAACCAGTCTACCATGCAGAACCTTGTCGAATGCCTTGCTAATGTCCATACAGACAAAGTGTTCCACTCTGCCTTCACCAATCTTCTTTGTCACTCCTTTAAAAACTTAATCAAGTTCGGGAGACACAATTTCCCACGCACAAAGCCATGCTGACTATCCGTAATCTGTCCTTGTTTTTCCAAATACATGTAAATCCTGTCCCACAGAATGCCCTCCAACAACTCACCCACCACTAACATCAGGCTCAACGATCTATAGTTCCCTGGCTTTTCCTTACCACCTTTCTTAAATAATGGCATTAACCAATGTCCATTCGTCTGGAACCTCACTCTTGGATATCGATGATAAAAATATCTCAACAAGGAGCCCAGCAATCACATCCCTAGCTTCCCACAAAGTTCTGGAATGCACCTGATCAAGTCCCAGGAATTTATCCAACTTAATGCATTTTAAGATGTCCAGCACTTCCTCTTCTGTAATATGGACACTTTTCAAGATATCACTATTTCCACTTCCACTCCCCCCACAAGTTCTCTAGCTTCCATGTCCTTCTCTACAGTAAGTACTGATGCGAAATACTCGTTTAGTATCTCACCCATCTCTTGTGGTTCCACACATAGACGCGCTTGTTGATCTGTTAAGGGCCCCTATTCTCTCCCTAGTTATTCTTTCTCCCTTAAAGGATCTGTAGAATCTCTTTGGGTTAAGGAGAATCCAATTTACCAAAGATATCTCATGCCCCCTTTTGCCTGATTTTCCTCTTGGGTACACTCCTTCTGCCCTTATACTCACTTAATCCCAGCTATCTTTTCCTGACATATGCCTCCTTCTTCTTGACCAGAGCCTCGATTTCTCTAATCGTCCAGCATTCTCTACACCTACCCACCTTGCCCTTTGTACTAATAGGTACACACTGTCTCTGGATTCTCATTACCTCGTTTTTAAAGGCCTCCCACTTTCCACCTGTCCCTTTACCTGCAAGTATCTGCCCCCAATTAACGTTTGAAAGTTCTCACCTAATGCCATCAAAATTGGCCTTACTCCAATTTAGAACTTTAACTTTTAGATCAGGTCTATCCTTTTCTATAACTATTTTAAAACTAATAAAATTATAGTCACTGGCCCCAAAGTGCTACCCCACTGACACCTCAGTTACTTGCTCTGCCTTATTTCCCAAAAGAGGGTACTGTTTTGCTCCTTCTCTAGTGGGTTCAGCCACATAACGAATACGAACATTTTCTTATAAACACAACAAATTCCTCTTCATCCAAGCCCTTAACACAATGGCAGGCCCAGTCTATGTTTCAAAAGTTAAAATGCCGTACCATTACAACCCTATTATTCTTACAGATATAGTCATAGAGTCATACAGCACAGAAACAGACTCTTTGGTCCAACCAGTCCATGCCGAACATAATCCCAAACTAAATTAGTTCCATCTGCTTGCTCCTGGCCCATATCCCTCCAAATCTTTCCAATTCACGCACTTATTCAAATGTCTTTTAAATGTTGTAATTATACCCACATCCACCACTTCATCAGGAAGTTCTTTCCACACGTGAACTACCCTCTGTGTAAAAAATTTGCCTCTCATGTCTTTTCTAAATCTCTTTCCTCTCACCTTAAAAATGTGCCCCCTAGTCTTGAAATCTGAGATCTCCTTACGTATTTGCTTCTCAATTTCCCACTAACTATCGGGGGTGGGTGGGACCTGTAGTACAATTCCAATAAGGTGATCATACCTTTCTTATTTCTCAGTTCCGCGCAAGTAACTTCACTGGGTATTCTTCTAAGAACATCCTCCCTAAGTACAGCCATAATGTTATTGTTAACCAAAAACACCATTCTCCCTTCTCTCTGCCTCCCTTTCTATCCTTCCTATAGCAACTATACTCTGGATCATTAAGCTGCCAGTCCAGTCCATCCCTGAACCACGTTTTTCTAATAGCATTGATATCTCAGTCCCAGGTGCCCAACCATGCCCTGAGTTTATCTGCCTTAACTGTTAAGCCTCTTGCATTGAAATGAATGCAATTTAATTCATCAGTCTTACCTCATTCTCTACCTTGCTCTTGTCTGCCTTCACTTTTTAATTTGCTCATCTTCTCTATTGTACCAGCCTTAGACTTATCTCTTTTCTGACTATCTCTGCAGGGCCGACACCCCCACTTACTAGCTTAAAGCCTACTGAGCAGCACCAGCAAATCTCCCCACCAGAATACTGGTCCCCTTCCAATTCAGGTGCAACCCATCCTTCTTATACAGGTCACTTCTACCCTAGATGAGATCCCAACAGTGCAAAAATTTGAATCCCTGCCCCTTGCACCAGCTCCTCAGCCATGCATTCGTCTGCTCTATCCTCCAATTTCTACACTCACTAGCACATGGCACCTGGAGTAATCCAGTTACTACTACCCTCGAGAAGCTACTCTTTAAACTTGCTGCCTAATCTCCTGTATTCTTTCTGCAGAACCTCATCTATTTCTTTTCCTATGTGATTGGTACCAACTTGTACAACAACCTTCTGCTGGTCACTCTCCCCTTCAAAAATATTATGCACCCTCTCCAAGATATCCTTTACCCTGGCATCAGGAAGATAACACACCATTCTGACATCTCGGTCAGCCACAGAAACATCTGTTTGTGCCCCTGATTAGACACTGCCCTATCACAACTGATCGCTTGGAACCTGACCTACCACTCATTACTGTAGAGCCAGACTCGGTACCAGAAACCTGGCTATCTTTCCCTTGAGAGGCATCACCCCTGACATTATGTAAAACAGCATATTTGTTTGAGATGGGGATTACCACAGGAAACCCCTGCACTACCTCCCTACCATCCCTCATGGCAACCCTACTACCTGACTGTATCTGTGGTTTTTCTACATTCCTGAAACTGCTATCCATCACACTCTTGGCTCCTGTAAATTCCTCAGTGCCTCCCTCTGCTGCTCCAACCAATCCATACAATCCCATAGGATTTGCATCCAAACACGTATCCAGCAGACATAACCTCCAGAAACACTGAAACTCTCCCTATCTCTTACATCTGATAGGAAGAGCTCATCACTCTACTAACAGCCATCTCTGTGCCTTAAACAATCTACACACCCAGAATATACCCAAAAAACCACAACACACTTTCTTTAAAACTTAGCGTTTGCAGTCTTAATGCTCAAAAACACTGCTGTAGGATAACTAAATCCCTATCTTTTATTTTAAAAAATTAATCAAAAGATTGATCTCAGTAAAACATTTAAAAAACTCACCCTGCTCACTACTATAGGTTCACAAGGGGAGAAAAAGGCATTTATACGGTTTATAAATCTTAAAATCAAACACCTAGCTTATCAGGCTCTGAAATCACTGATCACTCCAAGCTACTTGTGTTCTAATTCCGATAATGAAGTCTCCCGCGGTTAGCTGTGAAACTAGTTTTTTTTTGTCGTGGACCTATTCACAGTCCTGGGACAATCCTGAAAAATCCAAGAAAGTTGGTCACCCTGGATTTGATGGAGCTATACAAAATCATGAGGGATCTAGAAAGATTAGATAGAGGGAATTTGTTTTGCAACCAAGAGAAACGGGGCGGATTCAAGCTTAATTGGCAAAGGCAACGGAGACATTCAAGAACAAAACAAAACTTTCTCAAACAGCGAGTGGTTAAGGCCCGAATGCACTGAGAATGTAGTGAAATATTTCTTTTTCAATAAGTTACAACCTTTAGCTGAGTGACTGAAAAGTCTGCTCTTGAGGATCAGATCGGGCCACAAGTGATAATATTGTAAAACAAAACTTTCCTCTACCAATCAAAAGGCTGCCTCCTCCTCGACTCTTCCCTTCACTCCTATTTCCCTTCTCCCCTCCTTTCTTTCCTTTTCCCCTCACTCCTCATCCTTTCCCTCATGCTCCCGTTCCCTTTCCCGTTCCCTCTCCCTTTGTACTGACTGAAGTTGAGCGGGATCCCGACTTTTAGCGCGCCAAAAGCCAAGCGCGCTTTCCCGCAGCTGGTCCACACCACTGGTGTGATAGAGGGGAGAATAGTGAGCCGACGACCGAAGTAGGCAAATTGAAGTTGAAAATGTGAAACTCGATGGGAGATAAAATGGATCATTCGGACAAGTAGGGCTCGAAAGTTTGCTCGTGTGCAACGCATGGCGACAGGAGCAGCTTGGTGTCTGAGAGCTGTGTGTCTGTTCCCCCCCCTCCCCTGTCCCATGATTGGAACATCCCCATTGTCCCGCGGGGTTCCATGCAGTCTCGGCGTTCTATCCGGGATTCCTCAGGTGGCTCTGATTGAGCGGCGGCTGCAGTAACTGGGAGAAAGGTGAGGGTAGCAGTGACTGCTTTAACCGGCCACATCCAGACAGCGGGCTGCTCCTGCGATTGTTACTCTTACTTACTGCTCCGCGCTTTTTTTAATTTTGCACTTCTGTTGTGTAAACAATCTGAGACTGGGAGGGTTTGGCGGGAAATGTGCACGTTTTCCCCTGTTGAGCTGGAGAGAACTCCTGGTTTTACATGCTCGTCTTTTAAACCGTCGTTCCCCCGAGTAAGCGTACATGTGGGAAATGGTTAGACGTTCTTTAAAACGTGGTCGTCATATTTTGAATACGGTTCAGTTTGCTTTGAAATGCCTTTTCAATACCGCAGAAAGATGACTGATTCTTTCCACTTGAACTGTGAACGTGCTTGTCTTTTTTAAAAAAAAATGATGCACTTTATCAGTCTCAGGGAAATGAGGTTTGTTTTGGTCCTGAGCAGCCTGTTTTCTTGTCTGTAAAAACCGAAACGTTAGCTCTGATTTCTCCACAGATGCTGCCAGACCCGCTGAGTTTTCCCAGCAACTTCTGTTTTTGTTTCCTTGTTTATGTTGCGCTTGTAAAACCGCAAATTTTGACAACAGGAAACCGTGTGTAGCAAAATGATGGTAGTTGATTTCATTTTCTATTATCGCACTTTCTATTCTTGATACAATTGCATTTTTTTCATGATTATTTAAACTGGTTGTTTAGTTGTTTTTAGATGATGTGGTATATGTAGCAGACACTTGCACGAATTATCAAATTAATTTGTGTTCAGAATTTTAGAGGACAATTCATTTTCTTATTTTTCTCTTTTGCAGATGTCAAAATTGATTGCAGATATCTTTAATACTCAGAGTGATGATGAAGAATTTCTGGGTTTTCCAGAGGAAGATTTTAAGAATAGATATGACCATCTTAATTATGTAAGCAAACAAGAAGAAAGTAAATACTGCATAAATAACTTTTCAATGTAATTACTTTTGCCAACAATTGCACAAAAGTATTGTGAGGTGGTAAGCTATGTTAATGTTCTGATTGCATGGTATACACTTTGTGTAAATGGTTGAGAATATTTTTTTCATAACATGTGAAATTGGAGTAATTAAATAAGGTCAGTCACCAGAAGCTGCCAAGTCACTACAAACTAATAATTCTTACTTGCTGTAACCAGTAAACACTGTGTGCTTGTGACAAGTTGATGCTGGAATCTGTAGTTTTGTGGGCTGACTTATTGTAGGGAGTTTCTTTAAAAATGCATACAAATTTCTGAATAGGCTTTAATATAGTCCATAGCCCAAAGCTGGAACTAAGGACCTGGTAGGCTCTCAACATGGCTCCTAATGGTAAGTTAAAGATGTGAAACGTTAGTAACAGACTGGTGTGGAGAATTGCAGATTTCACTGTAGATTGCTTCACAATTTCAACACTGAGTTTGCTGATCCCCTGACTTCCAATTTGACAACTCCTTGATTTTAAAAAAAAAATCTCATCCCTTTTTTAAAATCCCTCTAATCTTATCCTTCATCTCTTTTCCCCCTAAACCCCTCCCAGATCTCAGCTCCCCTGATGGTGTCCTTAGCTGGTCCCTAGGCTGTGAAAATTTCTAACAAAAACAAAGTTGCTGGAAAAGGTCAGCAGGTCTGGCAGCATCTGTGAAGGAGAAAACAGAGTTAACGTTTCGGGTCTGGTGACCCTTCCTCAAAACTGATAGTGACTGGGAAAACGTCAGTTTATATGCAGAAAATAGGGAGGTGGGTGGGGTAGGGAGTAAACTATAGGATAGAGCCCAAAGAGAGAGAAAGACAGTTGGACAGACAAAGGAGTTGCTAACGATCAGGCTGGGAGGGTGAGTAGTTGTTAATGGGGACTGTTGGTGACTAACAACAGGGGGTGTGTAGTGGCAGGCTATGAGGTAACAGGGCCTGGTGTGTGGTTGGAGAGAGAGGTTGAGAGTGTGCATGTGAAAATCTCTTCTTGGTTCTGTCTGTATTGCACTTTATAAGACGCACTTTATAGCATTAGCCTGTGACTTGAGTATTTTGGTTATTCTTCCTAATCCTGCCCTCATGAAAGCAACATATTTCTGACTAAAAACCAAAAGAACTGCGGATGCTGTAAGATCTGAAGAAGGGTCACCGGACCCGAAATGTTAACTCTGATTTTCTCTTCACAGATGCTGCCAGACCTACTGAGCTTTTCCAGCAGCTTGTGTTTTGAACATATTTCTGATGTTGGGAATTTGCTACAAAAGCAACATTTTGGAAAGACTCAGCATGTCAGCCAGCAGCTTTTCAAATCCACAACCTTCCATCAGAATTTTTTCTTGACTATAACAACAAATTGGGAGGGGGGAGAGAAAGAAAATCAGTGTGTGGAGCTTGGAGTGAAACTACATTTTGATAACATTCCTGTGATTTACTGTTTGGAGTAATTTGCAATGTTAAAGGTGATATGCCAATGCAATTTGTTCATAGGCTTTTGGGGATAGAGAGTGAGTGTGAACATTTTTGATGGGATTTGTAGAATGATAAATGGGCAGGACATATTTGTATGAGATTATGTTTATGAAAGTGGGAGGCCAGTAAGGAATTGTATCTGCTGGTGACAAAAACACAGATGGACTGAGGCAGGAATGGAGAGGGCAGTGTTACAGACAAAAGCATGCAGACTTGGATGTGAGGTCAGAAGCTTGGCTTGTGCCTAAATAGGTCACTGAAATTGACATTGAGATCATGGCTGGAATTGGTGCTGTGGGAGCATTTGTTTTGTACAACAAAAATTACATTTGTGTTGGGTGAATAATTGAAATTCCAGTCATTGATTTCACATTAAAGTCTGCAAGGGCTGATTGATAAAAGATCTGAAAATTTCATAGTCATAGAATAATAAAATCCCTACAGTGCAGAAAGTGGCCATTGGGCCCATCAGGTCTGCACTGACCCTTTGAAGAGCATCACACCCTGAGCCAGCCTGTATTTTCTCTGGCTAACCCACCTAGCCTACACATCTTTGTTTGGCAGTCAGTTCTGTAGTTTGACAGGATTTTTCTGTACAACATTTTCTTGATAACCAGCAGAGTCCCATGCATCTGTCTTTGTCATCTAACTTTACCTTGGACTTGAAGATACTTGCTTCAGGTATTGAGTGCTTGAAATTTACCCAGTGGAAGCTGAAATGTTTGGTAATTTCTAGAGTGCAGCAGGTTGTGACTTCCACAGGTTCCTGACATGCATCTCAGATTTCACACCCAGTACCTGATCTCTGTATTGTTGATTTTCGGAGACCAGAATATATGGATCAATGTCATTCTGTGAATGAGAACAGCAGTTACGGGTGAAAATTTGAAAGCAAAGGAATGATAGCCCTCGAGCTACTGTTAAGAGAATGCAGAAGCAGAGGGACATAATGCATTCTTCTGTTAATAAGTGAAGTTGGCAGGGCAGGTGGAGAAAGCAGTTATACATCCATGGCTTTATTAATAAGGGCATAAACTGTAAGGACAAGGAGGTGATGCTAAATTTATACAAAATGCTAGTTAAACTTTGGCTGGGCTATTGTGTTCAGTTCTGGGTGTCACAGTATGGGTAATAGTGAATATGTTGGAGAGAGTGCAGAAGTATCTTAGAAAAATAAGTTCCAGGAACAAAAAACTTCAGTTATGAAGATAGTCCCAACTTCTCAGATCTATTTTCCTTGGAGAAGAGAATGGTAAGGGAAGATTTGATCAGTTTTCAAATTGAGGTGCCTGGATAGAACAGACAGGGTAAAACAGTTCCTACTTAAAGGGATTGAGGAATCAGGACACAAATATGAAGTAATTTGCAAAATAAGCAAATGGAATGCAAGAAAGAAACTTTTTCACTGATTATAGTTACGATCTGGACTGCACAGCCAGGAATTGTGTAGGTTCAACTGAGGTATTTAAAAGGGCATTAGATGATTATTTGAATCAAAATAATATGCAGGGAAAATGGCAGGAGACTGGCATTAAGTAATAATGCTCACTTGGAGAGTCAGTGCAGACATAATGGGCTGATTGGCTTCCTGCCCCATGACAAATCTGTTGAGTGTCTCATCGTTTAAGCCACTGGAATGAATATTGTTTCAGGTTCTTGAGATCAATAAAATGCCTTCATAAAAATGTTACAAAATGGCATGCCATCCTCGTATGGAGAGTCTTCGCATACGTATCTTGTACTCTTGGTGATTAGGGTCGAAGTGTCTAGCTTGTCATTTTACGTTGAAACTAAAATGATAATACAAAAGTTTTTAGCTTGAACATTTTTTGGTTTAGATATTTGAGTATTTGATATTTAAAAATGTAATGCTTTTACATTGAAATTGTTAATTTTACTGTAGTCAATTTTAATGATCTGCTGGTTTCTGCAGAACTTATTGACATGTTCAGTTAGTAGTTTATTGTTGTCTGTGGGTCTTGCATGGTTTTGCCTCATTGGTTTGCTCTATTTCCTAACAATGCATCTTTTATAATCACTACTTTGAAGTTATTTGGGATGTTCTGATGCCACAAGATGTTGTGTAAATGTAGGTTATTTTTAAAATATTGTATGGTTTTGTATGAGGCCAACTTGAGAAATTACAAGGATAACTATGAAATATCTGCACATACTTTTCCTCAAGTGTTTTCTCAGTTTCTGAAGCTTACATCCTTACTCTGAGACACTCAAACCTCATTCAAGTAAAAGATTATCCTTTGTGAGCTAGTTTAGTGGTTTTCGGTAGAATATTCAAATATATTGACTTTCACAAGAATGCACTGCCAAGCTTGTCTAATGTTTACAATTGCACTTTAATGTCTGTCTTTGTTTCTGCCTAGGAAACCTGTGGTAAACTAATAATTTCAGTGCAAATTCCTTAGAGATTTGAAACAAAAACAAAGTTTGCTGGGAAGGCTCAGGAGGTCTGGGAGCATCTGTGCGGGAAAAAATCAGAGCTAAAGTTTTGGGTCCAGTGACACTTCCTCAACTGATTTACAGCATCTGCAGTTCTTTTTGCTTTTTCTCCTTAGAGATTTGCAGGTTACTGTAATTAAATATTCATACTTGCTTGTGAAGAGGCTGAAGCTATTATCTACATACGTTTGTTAAGTATGCCACTTTGAGACAGTTCTGTTTTATTATGTTTCCCTCTATATTCACAGATACCAAAATTAATAGCTGACATCTTCGATGCACCAAGTGATGATGAGTTTTTGGGCTTTCAAGATTTTGAATGTAAGGAGCATGCAGTTGACAACCTGAACCAGAGCATTAATGTAAGTTAACATAAAATTATTTTTCAAGGCTTAATTTAAATGACTTTGCTGGAAAGTTTGCTGCCTCTGTTCTGACCAGACAGTCCCAAACACTTACCTGAATGAGTGGGAAGCCTGTACTTAATCCATTATAGTTTAAAATGTGGTTGGTAAGTGAATTAATTGTGCCTCAAGTTCATCCTTGATGTGCAGTAATTAATCCTGTCCTCTTAAGGTAACGTGTTTTTAATTGTTGAAATGCAAATCAAGAACAGAATGTGAAAACCAAAACAAATTGCTGTAGAAACTTATCAGGTTTGGCAGCATTTGTGGAGAGAGAACAGAGTCAATATTTTGGATCCAGTGACCCTTATCACCCTGTTCCGGGGAAGGGTCACTAGACCCGAAACATTGACTCTATTTCTCCCCACAGATGCTGCTGGACCTGCTGAATTTCTCCAGCAGTTTGCTTTTGTTTCAGATTTCCAGCTTCTGCAGTTCTTGGTTTTAAAATGTATTGAGAAAAATTGTGTGCATGTAATAGTTTTATGAAAAATATATTGGCTTGAATAGCTGATATTTTCATTCACTTGTTTAATGTTTAACTAATCTGTTGAAAGGTGTTTTGCATTGGAAATTGTAACTAAAGTAGTGGATGTTAACTTTCACAATATTTTTGCAAAGTAAGCAGCCTGACGGTTTTGCTTCCCAGCAGCCAGCAGATGAGATCGTGCTACCAGAAGGTTGTTTTCACCTTAAGAATGTGAAGAAATTGAGCCAATTTGAACTTGTAAATCACAGCAATGAAAAAAATTAGTTAGATACCTTCACAAAACTTTCATTAAACCTGCATCAATTCTACTCCTCTGTTTCCCAAGAATGTCTGTTTCCCAAGAATGATTTTAATTCCTAATCATCATTTCTATATGACCTGTTCTACTTTAAGGGAGAGGGAGGGCGTGGTGTACAGTCCTAGTGTGGTGGGTCTTGACATGCATATTTTGTACTCATCCTTGTATTTGGATTCATGGAATAAATCTGGCTGAATCCATTCCCTTTTTTTTTTTAAAAAAAAGAAAAAAAGGCGTATCAATTTTTCGTCAAATTCATTTGGACTTGGAGTTCAACAAATCCTTTAAATTTTCTGCTTCAACGAGGGACTACAGGCAGGGGTCTCCAGGTTGTGAATGGGTTCTGTTCTTGAGTCTGTATGCAAGTCGGAATACGGTGCAGGACCAATATAAAATAGTCATTCATAAGTACCGGAAACTTTCGTGATGGCGATTCTTTTAAATTACAACCCTGTGTGGGATTGTGTTTTTAAGTTGGCCATTTGTAACTGGGGGATCCCCTTTTATATCTAACTGTTCTCTCAGCAGCCAGTTATTTATAGACCTGCTGAGCACTTGCAGAAATCTTTATTTTTCATCGAGCTCAATGCTACTTCTACTTCTCAAACAATTCAATATTTGTTTTCAAACAATGAATTCCTTTTTACAAGAATTAGAACTGTGCAAGTTTTTGGTGCACAGCAGGTCACCTGTCGAGTTCCACAATGACCAATCTAAAACCAATTTCTCCTCTGCTCTCCTTCCATCTTAGCCTTAAGCTTTCCTCCTCTTCAAATGGGTGTACAATTTTTCTCTTAACTGTTTGGCGCAACCTTTCAAAGTATAAAACCAGTGCTACAATTCTTTATGGAAATTTTCATAATTTCATATTTAATGGCAATCTCTACATAATTTTTGCTCGTTTATCACTAAATCAGAAATTGTTTTCCTCTATTGTATTATATTTTTTATAATTTTAGGAAATTATATTGGATCCTTTTTCAATGGGACAGGCATTAAAGAATTTTCCCTCTAATATAGCTTTTGTGTCCTGTAGAGCTTTAATGTGCATTTATGTGATAGGACATCTAAAATTGCAAGCATAAAACTAAAATGGTGCCAAATTTTATCCATTAACTGTGAGGAAACTTTCCGTACCCAAGTCCAAATCATTCCCGTACACAGAAGAAGTGGACACAACATTTCATCTGGTGTACACCAATTTTGTCTAAGCAACTTCTTTTTTTTCCCGTCGTCCCTGTTCACTGTTGGTTAACCAACATTTTAACCCATGTTGGGATGTTCATTTTTGCACTGTAAAACCATGTCATCAGAAAATGCACGGAAGATCACAGTTACTGTATTTCCTTTTAACCGTCCAATCAAATTAGTCGTAGAGATGTACAGCACGGAATCAGACCCTTTTGTTCAACTCAACCATACCAAGCCAATATCCTAAATTAGTCTAGTCCCATTTGCCAGCATTTGGCCCATATCTTACAACCTCTCACACCCCCCGCCACCCCCACGTTCCAAACCGATAGTCACTTCCATCTCCAAGGACAAAGACAGCAGATACAAGGGAACTGCACCAGCTGTAAGTCCCTCTTCAAGTCACTTGCCATGCTGACTTGGAAATATGTTGCCATTCCTTCAGTGTCGTTAGGTCAGAATCCTGGATTTCCTACAGCACATAGATTGCAGTTGTTCAAGAAGGCAGATGGCTACTACCTTCTCAAGGCCAACTAGGGATGGATAATAAATGCTGATCCAGTTGGCAATGCCCACATCCCATGAGCGAATCTTTTTAAAAAAAGGTTACACGTTGCATTCAGTGCATGCATGTGTGCCATTCTAAAAGACTGGCTGCACTGTCAGGACTATAAAGTAAATGTTGTCTAATTTTAGAACCATACCTAAATTTAAGGAGGACCTGAGGGGCAATTTCTTCATGCAGAGTTGTGCGTATATGGAAAGGCTGCCAGATAAAGTGGTTGAGGCAGGTACAGTAGCAACATTTAAACAACATTTGGATTGGTAAATAGATGGGAAGGGTTTAGAGGAATATGGACCAAATTCAGACAGTTGGAGCGAGCTGAGTGGGCACCATGGTCAGCCTTAATCAGTTTGAACCGAAGGGCTTGTTTCCATGCTGTATTACTCTCTTGACTCTAATGTTGGATACGTGAGTTTTGCATGGGTATAGTCAGTACCTTCCATGTAGTGAAAGCTGAAGGAATATGATTTTTGATGTGATTTGCTAGTCTTTAGACATATGGTCTGCACTCCTGGCATCACAACAGCACTAAAATTCATCTACTGCATAACTTACGGTTCATGGTTTGTGCAATAACCTGTGAGAATTCATCTGATCAGGTTAGCCATTAGACTGCTTTCATGCCTTTTTCAGCATCAAGCTTGCTGACACAATGGTGACATGTCTAGATTTCCATGATATAATGGCATAATATAAATGTGTTTGTCTTCCTTGCTTGGCACACAGGTGACTAGGCTAGCAATGTGAAATGAGCACGTGGACATGACATTGCTGTGGCTGCCTTTTCATAAACGAAGGAATAATTCACACTCTGTTCTATAACTTGGTCAAAGCGAACAAATCACTCAACCATTTGTCCGATTGATGCTGTGCAGAGCCTGTCATAAATTAGATAGGGTGTAAAGGGAAATCACTTGTGTGTCTTGGGCAGCCTGTATAAGCGTGGCACAGTGAACCGTGAAAATGAACCCTACCATATATATCATTCAAATTTGTTTCTATTAAGTCCAGCAAGCATTGTATTAGAGATAGTAGGAACTGCAGATGCTGCAGAATCTGAGACAACAAGGTGTAGAGCTGGATGAACACAGCAGGCCGAGCAGGAAGGCTGACATTTTGGGCCTAGACTGAAGAAGGGTCTAGGCCTGACACGTCAGCCTTCCTGCTCCTCTGATGCTGCTTGGCCTGCTGTGTTCACTAAGCATTGTATTAGCTTGCTTTCATGTAAGACGGTCTGCTTGTGCTGATCAATAGGCCCAGTGGCTATGAATTTAAATCCCTGATTAAGAATGGCATGTATTTCATGCACTTTCATTGAACTATCAGGTATATTTTGTTTCAAGCAATGTTATGTCGATTGGCCTTGGTCAACCCAAACGTATTCAAAGTGAATTATGATTTTACAACACTGACCTATAGGTTCCCAAATATTCATTCCACTGAAACAGCAATTTACTCACACAGCAATAAGAGTAGCCCAATCAACTCCTTGGGCTGTTCTGACATTGTGAGATCACACTGATCTGTGGCCTAACTCCACACATGCGCCTTTGGCCCATATCCCTTAATACCTTTGCTTAATAAAAGTTTATCTCCGATTTAAAATTATCAAGCAATTCTGCATCCAGTATCATTTGCGAAAGAGAGTTCCAGGCATCTACCACCCTTTTTCTGTAGAAGTTCTTCCTAACATCTCGCCTGAACAGTCTGCCCCTAAGTTTTAGACTATGCACCCTAGTTTTCAAATATCCTACCAGTGGAAATAGCTTATCTTTATCTGTCCTGTCTTTTCCCGTTAATATCTTGAAGACTTTGATCAAATCACTGCTTAACCTTCTAAGTTCTAGAGAAATCCAGTCCAAAGATGTGCAGGTTAGGTGGATTGGCCTTGCTAAATTGCCTGTAATGTTCAGGGATGCCTAGATTAGGGGGGTTAAAGGGGAATAGGTCTAGGTGGGATGCTCTGAGGGTCGGTGTGGACTTGTTGGGCCGAAGGGCCTGTTTCCACACTGTAGGGATTCTATGATACTCTATGAAATCAGGACTAATTTTTATAATCTGTCTTCATGACTTTACCCTTGAAGTCCAGGTATCATTGATGCTTCCAGATTAGAATACTGTATTTGTTTCTCTCTGTGCAGTCTTCTCTCCATGGGAAAATCAAATACAAACTGGCTGAGCTTTGCAGAACTGCATTTTCAGTCCATAGGCATGACCATGGCTTCTGGTTGCTTCCAATTTTAATTTTTTCCATCTTGCTGCTACACTCCTTCTGTCATTGTCCTGGTGGTGTTCCAGTAAGTGTTAAAAGCATGCATTGGGTGCAGCCCCAAATCTTTCACTTTGTCACTTTACCCCCTTTTGGGCTGAGTTCAACTTTAGATGATGACCTCAGTCTCGCTTTCTTTTTTTTTCAGGTTGTCCGTGATATTGATTTCTTCCCTTATTGTTGCATTCAGAAGGTTGCTATGTAGCTGTTTTGAGCTTATTTGTAGACCAAATCCATTACCACTTTGGGTGTTGCATCGTGAGATCTTTTGGCAGTAAATCACAGCTGTCCACGACCCTATCACAGACTATGCTCTCTTTATATTCCCCTTCTCCCATCTGCTGGCATAGAATCTTTTCTTCAACGTTGTCAGTTTTCAGCCTGAAAAATTAACCACTCTTTCTTACTTCAGATACTAGGTAACCAGCTGAGCATTTCCAGTGTTGTTTTTGGTTTTGTTTAATTTCTAAGTTCCAGTGGCTGGAATATTTTGGCTTTTGTATGACTTTAAGTATTTGTCTACGTCTTATCCCAGATTTAACATACTTGATGAAAGATAATTGAGTTATCTTGCACAGTTGCTGCCTGAACTAATGAGTGTTTCTGTCATTTTTCTGTTATGTTTCAGATTATCTGGTCTTTGTTAACAGATTTAGCTTTTTCTTGAATATGGTGTTACTTTGGATATTTTTGAGGCAGACACATACAAATTTTAACATTGTCTTCTGTCCATTAAATTAATGATTGTGGTGTTATTCAGGGGAAGTGTGCATTTAGTTTCAGATACCCAATCCCAGTATCAATCTTTCCCAAGTCAAGTGCAGTAAAGTTCTGTTTTACCTGACAACATGATTTGGAGTCCACTATGATGAAAGACCATGCCTGCTGCCCCATTATTACTTTGCTTTTTCCTGGAACTTAGTTGTGTCACCCCGCGGCAATCTTTCTTCCTTGCCTCCCCACTTAACAACTAGGATCCCGGTTTTCGTAAAAAACGGTGAACTAGCTCAAAGAAGTGGAGCTGATGTTCTGAACACTGAAAACAGTTGCCTGGAATGTGCTTGTAAACCAAGACAGTACTCTTGGGATTGTTCTTCCCCAGAACTCTTGGTGTTATTTCATTGGCCTTTGTATTGGCTGAAACCTGATCTGAGACAGTAAATGGGCGACTTGGTTGACTCTAGAATGCTACAGGCCAGCTTCTCTTCAGTGATTTACACACTGCTAGCAGGTTTTCTTCTCCTGTGACTTGTGCACAGCTAAAAATGCGAACTCATTGAACAACCAAGAGTTCTGTACAAAGGTGTTGATCTCTTGGCCCTCCTTTTTATGGGTTCCAAAAAGTGCTCTAATCCCAATGGTTTTGGTCTTCAGCACTAAAGGATGAAAACTGGGGCTGAGGGCCTTGTTAAAGTTTCATAGTTAGTATTAACTGTTGCAGCTATCCCTCCGAACCATTGGTTAGCTTAAATAACTTTAATAATTTGGATTTATTGCTAAGTTCTTCATTGTGTTTTGGTTCTCAGAGTTTCCAGTCCAAATTTATTACAGAAGAACTTATTGAAATTTTCACCGAGGATAGTTGGTCAACTGATTATGTTTTTGAAGGGTTCCCTGAATGTACTCTTGAACCTGATGACAAAGAGGATTTAAGGGTAAGAAATGTAATAAAGCCTAAATTAGCATCTAGTTATTGGTTCTTTTCCTATGTATTTCTGGATTCTGTCTTAGAACTTCCATACGCTTCTGTCCTCTCAGGATCACGATTGTTAAAATACTAATTTATGTATGAGATTTTACGTTAAGTCCTTTCTTAAAGAGCAGGCATTATCTGGTAAAAGTAACTAGTATAAAGTAAACATAGTGGCTGAATACTCAATGTCACTACCAAATCCAGCATTAATAAATCCTGTTACCAAGTCCAATGAGAGTAGTCTTGAACCACCACCCTCCTGTTTTCCAGTGCAAATATCGGTAGGGGCAGTTGAAAATTGGAGACCAAATCTGTTACCCAGAGCCTACCTAATGCAATCTATTCGGGTGAATTAGTTGGCCAGTAGTTCTGAAATAGGGAGCAAACTGGAACCCACTTGATTTGATTTATTATTGTCACATGTACGGAGACACAGTGATAAGTATGGTTTTGTGTTCTAATCAGACAAATTGTACCATATGTTAAGTACATCAGGGTAATAGAACAGAATGCAGAATATCACTTACAGGGAAAGCTGAACTCTATTCAAATCATACGGCCCTGTTTGTAACTTTGAGTACCTTTCTGTGACTCTCTCTCTCTCTTTAATGCGATCACAATCCCTTTCACCAACCTGTGTTGGTGCTGCTGGACTTCCACTCATTCCATTTGGTGACCTCACTAATACAAAAAAACCTGGTTCTGTTGGGCAGCTGCTGGACACTACTTTGTGCTTGTTGTAAGTGAAATTCAGAATTTCTCTAGATTCTTTTTAAGAGTCCAATTCCAGAATTGTTACAACCCAACAATTCTTTTACTAAAAGCATTGTGTTAGCTAGCTTAATGGACGGAAACTACCATAAAAAGTAACTTGACGAATCATGCCCATTCACAGTTGGGTTGTTGTATACCACACTCTGTTCACAAAACCTTTACAAATGCCAAAGCAAAGTCGTCTTTACTTTCAAACACACTTGCAAAAAAGCTTGACCCCTCCACCATGTGAGACATCCGAGATATAAGGAAATACATTATTCTGACTTGAATTTATCTTTACTGAGCTTTAGATACTATAAGCATTCACTAATAAATGCACATAAACTACCTGGTCATAGACAGTAGACTATTAGTTAGCTTTTTTTTTGTGATGAATTGGTGTTTCTTTCAGTCTGAGAGTTTGGAAACAGAGGATGAAGATGAAGGTTTCACTGAATATGATGATGAATCGTCCATAGAAAGTGAGGTGGAAGCAATGCCGAAGAAAGGCCATTTTGGACTGCGTGTGGCATTTAAATTCCCTACAAGACGACCAGTGAAAAGGAAGCACCGAGAGATCCAGGAATCTGAGGAGTCTGAATCAGATGATGACTCAGCACCTGGAAAGAAAAACTCTAATGTATTGCTAAAGAGGGCCATGAACATCAAAGAAAATAAAGAAATGGTAGAGTATTTGCAACAGTTTTCATTATCTTTGCCATTAATGGTGCTGCCTTTTATGAGATTACACATTTGAAGTGCCTTGAAATGTTTACTTTGTCATTGTTTGCCTTTAAATGTGTAACAGTGCGGCTTTTTCTAAGATTAAAGAAATGACATGAAAATTATAAAAACACAGCTTGCTGCTGTGTCAATGCAGGAATCTTACTTGCATTAAAATTTGATTTGTCTCTGACGTGTATAAGTAAAATGTTACCTTTCTATTTACCTGCAATAGAGGAAACACCAAGGCATCAGGACGTTTTTAAGTTAGTTGACAAATCCCAACAATGTTTCATTCCACAGTTGTCTACAACATGACACTCTAGAAAAATGATTGAAGAGCTGAAAATTTCAGTTTAGATTGATGTTTTTTGGGAACCATGATAAAACTTTTCTGTCTTTCAGAGTCCCCAGTAGTTTTGTCAGGAAGGTTACTTATTTTTAATTGCCTTGGGTGGTTCAGACAATAATCCACCTTTAGAGTCACAGGTCACCTCCGCTTGGGTTATTCCATCAGCCAGGTCCCTCTGGTCCTCTCCAAATTGATCCTTTATTAAATCCCAGAATGAGGTCAAAGGAATCCCTGACCTTGGAGTTTGCTCCCTAGTTGTACTTTCTTAGACAACAGTGATCGTGTTTATTGTGAAGATTCCTTTGGTATATTGGTCAGAATCCATTTATCTTGGTCTCAGCTTAATTTCTAAGCTTTGGTTTTCTGATTAATTTTATAGCAGGAGTGTGGTTGTAAAGAGCTGTATTATAGAGTCATACAGCACAGAAACAGACCCTTCCGTCCAACCAGTCCATGCTGAACATAATTCCAAACTAAACTAGTCCCACCTGCCTGCTCCTGGACTATATCCGTTCAAACCTTTTCTATCTGTGTGCTTATCCAAATATTTTTAAAATGTTGTAATTGTGCCCACATCCACCACTGCTTCAGGAGGTTCAATCCATGCACAAACCACCCTCTGTGTAAAGAAAAAAAATTGCCCCTGATGTCTTTTTTAAATCTCTCTTCTCTCACCTTTAAAGATTTTTTCATGTAAAGGATGATATGAGACATGTACTAAACTTTTAAAACCCTTCAGCAAATGTAGTGGGTGTATTTTGCACTAACAAAGCACACTGTTGATGTTAACAGTGAGACTTAATAAACCCGTCCAATGTTTGTGGTCTTTAAACCAAACATCGTTTTATTCACTTTTTGGATTAAGACCATTTCTAAACCTATTTCAAATCCATGCTTTCTTTTTTTGAATGATTTTAAGCAGTCTGAACTTCTCACTCTTCTGCTCTTTAAAAGAAGCAACGATCTTGTACATGACTAGTTGTGCATGTATTCTTGCTTTGTTTATAAATGAATTCTGGTGATATACAACACTGAGAAGACTATCACCAGAATTCAGTGAATGAAATTTGAGCTGAACGTGTCATTGTGTGTGGTCATCTTGTCAGCTCTAACAAGTTGCATACATTTAAAAATAACTGGTGAAGGAAGAATGTAATTGTATAACTATGGCAGATGAGGGGTATGGTGTCATTGATGGTGCTCCCATTACAGTTGGAAGAGCTAAGAATGGGGAAATGCACCATAATGCCTGTTAATAATGCTGTTGTTCTTGGTGACTTTATCCTCTTAATGTGGTAGTGTGCTTTTAATATTTTTTTTTCTTGCCACATTTTATTGTTGCTACATTATCTAAAAGACTGAATTGAACGTGTTAATTTTTTTTAGCTCGCTAAACTAATGGCAGAACTAAAAACGATGCCTGGGCTCTTTCCAATGAAAGTATGTACTTCTTCATCACCAGTAAGTTCTGCATAATTTATGGATAATTTCTATGTAATTATTTTATCTCTTGTTTGACAAATTTGCATGTCAGTACTTGGTCATTGAATTCAAGTACTCGGAATTTATAGGCTAAGTAAGATTTAACTATCAAGTTAGAAACAAAGAAATTCTGTGCAATAGAAGTATTTCCTTTTTGTAAGAGGATCACATGCAGATTTAGTACATCTGACCTGTTGTAATATTAATGATGTCTGTGACGATAGGATTAGCTAAATAAAATGTCATAATGTAAGTATCCATTCTGATCATGACTGGTGAAACTTTGTAGCATGTCACCAGATGCTTAGTGGCAGCATCCTCCTAAGTTTTAAAACATCAGAAATGCTATCTTTCAGTTTAATTGTTTACTTAATGGCCATATTATAAGTGGTAAATGGTGATTTATAGATTTTTTGACAGCTTTTTGTTGTATATTAAAGCTAAGCCCTGCTTAGTGTTATGTCTGCAATATGTATATTTGAGTAAATTCATATTTAAATGCTGCATCATTTACTTTCCAGAAACAAAAACGAACGCCAAAGAGAACATTTTCTGAAGGCAAAGTTGAGCGTCGTGTCAATCCAAGCAGAAGTGCACGCCCCCCTGAAGGTTTCTCTGTAGAAAAGTTTGCAATTTCTCCAACCAAGCTTATGAGCCAAGTGAAAAAATTCCGCTTGAGAACGGATCTCACAAATCATTTTGTTGAGGTGACGAAAGTGTTTTGAAATGAATTTTTGTTGTGTTGCCTAGAATTGTATCATACAGCAGAGTTGATTATGGCACAATTCTCTCCTGTCTAAACTTGTTTCTGGTGTTAGTTAGCTGAGACAAAACTATGTGATTACTACATGCATTAAGTGTAATTTTTATGCATGTATAAACAACAATTGGAATATTTGTCAAACTTTATTTCTAATGTTAGTTCATGTTAATATTTAATGCAAAATTTGAAATATTGATGGATTTTAACAGGATGGAAGTCTGACCAAGAGGAGGAGAAGATCTTCAAAAGGCAAGCCAAGGCCTGTTGATGATATAACTGAAGAGGATTTGGAAAATGTTGCAATCACAGTTAAAGATAAAATTTACGATCGTTGTTTGGTAATTCATACATTTTTGCGTAATCTCCTCAAATTCTTGAGCATGACTTTATGACTAAAATTTTTCTTAACTGCTTGATAAATCAATAATTTAATTATGAGATTTGATGTGACTGTGGGCTGCATTGCTGGGAATTCTACTAATGGAGAACAGTAGCACTTTTTCATTAATAATGGCTAATAATTATAGTTGTTTTTGCACTGTATATAACTAATAAACATCAACTATTTTTACAGGTTTAACTGTAAATCATTCCAAAACGTTTTACATTTTCCTTGAGATATAGATAATGCTTTGAGTATGCATGAAAATATATAACAGATTAATATAATTTGTACCTCTTTTTTTGCTCTGGAGGCAATAACTGAGTATGGTATCTGCATCTCTAAGATAATTTGTTAATTTCTGCCACGTTTCTGTCACTTAATGCTGAATTATAGTCCATCACCGAAGCATTTCTCCACTAATGTCGTGCTGTCAGGAAATATGTTCACTCCTCTGTACTTGTAGGGCAGCACTTGCCATCAGTGCCGACAGAAAACAATCGATACAAAAACAATATGCCGTAATCAAGATTGCTATGGTGTGAGGGGACAATTCTGTGGACCCTGTCTGCGCAATCGGTATGGTGAAAATGTGAGATCAGCCCTTCTAAACCCTGTAAGTTAATAATCATTTAATGGTTTTTGCACAGTTTCATTAATTCATCAGAATTGACAGTAGACAGATTTAATTAGCTTAATTAGTCTGCATCGGTTTTTTAAACGGAAATGCTTTTTGACTATTGCTGCTTCTTGCTATTAAGGAGGATGTATTTTCCCTTGCAATTTATTATGTCTTTTATATCCACATCAGTTACATGAATTGTACTATTTTATTGTGCACCACCTGAAAGGCAGTCTCTTTGAGAACTATAAATTGCATTGCTGCTACGCAGTGGTTAGTGTACTTCTTCTGCCCTGTGAGAAAATTGATCAGGTCAGAGGACACAAGTGTTCATTCCATTAGACACTGACCCTGCCTTAGCTGAATCTAGCAAAACATAGAGTCTGAAATAATTTTGAATGCTGCTCCGAAGTCAACAATAACGTATGTGGGTATTTTTAACTCTTCAGTGGTTAGGGATATTACAAATTTGCTTCCCTTCAGATACAGTCTGGCAAAGATTGAGTTGGTAACCAGATAGGCTGGCATTTCTGTTGGTCTTGAAGTGGCAATAAAAGTTCTGTCCTCTACAAAGACAGGAACTCGAAACAGTGGGATGTATTGCATCCCATGCTCTTGCTGGTACCTGATTGCTGATTTACCTTTACCTTGGCAGCATGGTCAAAGTTCCCATAGGGCTGCTCTCTTAATTGAGAGAGACAGCCGGTGATGGTTTAACCTGTGAAGGGAGAGGTTGAGAAGGAGAATCTATCATGCTAACCTCAGCTGGTGCAGGAATTGAACCCACACTATCGGTCTCGCTCTGCATCACAAACAGTTGTCCCGCTAACCGAACTAACCAACCCCCAAATAACGTAACCTGAATGATTTAGTTAGTGCTTGTTGCTGGGATCTATGAGAAGAAGCCTACTTTGTTTCCAAAATGTTCTCGTTTGTCAAAAGGGCTCACTGAAAGGGATATGATTTTTCAGGGTTTTTGATAGAGAGGAGCTGGCCCTTTCCCTGATAAATAGCATTCACATACAAATTGAGGGATTTCCCCCCCGCCCACCTTGGTGAGGCTACTGACAGAGATCCCAGCAAGGTATGTTATGTTGAACTCTTCCACCCAAAGGCTTTTAAGTCCCAGAGGCTCTTGACAGGTAGACAGTTTGCAATGTATTGTTTGTATCATCTCATTTGTTTTTTTCCTTGCTTTCTGTAGGACTGGGTATGTCCTCCTTGCAGAGGTATCTGTAATTGTAGCTTCTGTCGTCGTCGGGATGGACGATGTGCCACTGGCATTCTTGTTCATTTGGCAAAGTTTTATGGATATGACAATGTTCAAGCCTATTTGGAAAGGTATAGAGTTAATGTGGTTTTGAAAACTAAATATTTTACTTAGCTGAAAGTAAGGTTAAGAAGATTGTCTGTGATGATTTGTCATTTGTATATTTCTTTTTGTTTGAAACTGACTGAAGTGCATTCTGCTGAAATTTGAGTGCATGTTGGGTGGTTTCTAAGCCATTTATTTAAATCCATTCAGAATTCAAATGTAAACATTCTGACAGGTAAATTCCTAAAAGGCCACAGGATTTCTGGTTTGCTCTACAAGCATCTGTGGCATATACTACATTTGATTTTGCTGATGGTTCCCTGATCTGCTGCAAGTTCAATATGAGCTCCAGAAAAATGTTGTCAGACACAGCTGGTATGGCCCACTGGGGCTTGCAATGAAATTGGGAGGACATGGGAGAACCACTATTTCAAAAATAAAAATGGGGATTGTTATCATAAATGCACCATTCTCTCACCTGTTGGTTATAACAGTTTGTACTCCAAGGGCTGGTTTCAGAAATAGAGTATGTGTCTAGAAATAAGTTTAGCTTTTCTCCTCTCTAATTTCCGCTTCCACCTTTTCATTGAGGTTTTGCTTTACAACCTTATAAGTGGCCACTGTTCAAATGAGCCTAGATGATGAGTCTTGGCAAAAGATTTATAAACCATGATTAACCCTGTCAAGGTGAAATGCAAACTTGTGCAGCATCGGGTGGGTGGGATTATGATTGTTCCTTTGCCACTCGATACTGAGGGTGATTTGTTCTGGTTGATATTAACTAAGTTGACAGTGCAGAAATTGAATTTTATACCTTTCTAACTGTACAAGTCATGATGATATGCTTTGATTTAATTCTAAAAGAGAAATTCTGGTCTGTTGATGTATGATAGGACATTATTTCATAGCTACATTTGAGTTGTGATAAGGCTATATTGTGCTATAGTGGGAGTAAATCAAGAAAGCAACATCCTGAATGAATCTTTTTTAATCTCTGAAAAATCGGTAATCTCAGCAGAAGTCATACAATCATGTCACCTTTCTGCTCGAACAGTTACAGAATGATCTGTTAAAGAGTGTCACTTTACAAAATGTAAATTACATGATTATTTAGTCTCATGTACAATATTCTTGCTATTATCAGATTTAGACTCGTGAAATAACTTGCATAAAGAACTCAAATTAATGATAGAAAGTTGTTACAAACTCTCACTTTTGTCTATTTTAGCTTACAGAAGCAACTGACTGAAGATTGAAGCAGCTACTAGGATCTGTAAACAGTTAAAGAATTAAAAAGCTTCTTACAGCTGTTTGTAGTAAATTGACTTTATTTTTTTTATGAAACCTGTATAAAAAGCACACTTTATTTTAATATTACAACTACTGGTAATTTACCAGAATTTGAAAATAATCAGCAGAAATAATGTAAATGCCGTTTGCAGAACTTGAATTGTAGTGTTTTTCGAAGCTTTGTAATAGTTGACAAGTTTCTTGTTTTCAGATATTTGTACAAATCCTGTGTTAAATCTTGAAGAATCTATTCTACATATGAATGGACGATTTCACGTTTATTGCAATGTCAGGGACCGTGGATGATTGCAAATATTTGTTTTATTGATATTCAAAAATAATGTCTTGTTTACATGGATTACATGAACAATGAAGAAGATGTAATGCTGTTCTATGTTATCCTATAGCAGTGTAGATGCAACACTCTTTCTGATGTTGCATGCAACATAAATACAAGAATAGATCAAGCAAACTGGAAACTGTGTTGATGAATGGTTTTACATTTAATTTTTGGTAATCTAATTCGTCATTACAGTTTAATCTAGAATACTTGGAAGTGTTAGTGTTTTTATTTTCACTGTCTAAAGAAACGTTAAACTGAATAAAGAGAATGTCTTGGACTTGTTTTGATTTTAAATGCTGCATGGAAGTTGGGACCTCTGTTGTAAATGGCATTTCCTTGCATAAAATGCCGATTATATGTATAATCATTTACTTTGATTAAAAAATTCAAATAAATCTGCTTGTTTCACTGAATTTTATAATGTTTAAACTTGTAGACATACACTGTCATTGCAGATCTACTATTTAATAGTTCATTTTCTTGCTAGCATAATGAGGCATTTTGCCTGTTGTGTACAACCTCAATTCACTGATTAATTGGTTACTTTTGTGAATTTCTAATTTAAGGAAATTTATGGTTTTGAAAATTGTGCCTTTTTGGAACTGTTGCCTACAGATTACATAATACTCTGGTACATGTCCACAAAAGAAAAGGCTTTCTGCTTAAAATACCTTTCCAAGAGCACACTGAAAGAAATAAAATGCCCTTGAAGTAGCAGTTCAATGTTCCGGTTAATGCTTTACTCCTCTAACCTTTGGCAAGTTCTTTTTGTAAATTTATCTCTAAACTGATAAAAGCAACGCTACTCCAGCAAGAATCCATTTGGCAGGCTTCTCTCTGGTCTTCAGATTGAAAGTCCAAACATATGTAGGCCCTCTAGTTTTGGTCTTGTAAACTGGGCATTCATAAATGTTCTTCATCTCTTGCCTATCTGCTGGAGTGGCCCGTACAAAAATGACTGGCATTGTGGGAGTCAGGTCTTTAAGACGTGCTTCTGTGATGATGCTGCCTTGAATGTCCCATCTTGCACCTAAAATATTGGCAAAAAAAGTAGTAATAAGATTTCTTTATATTTTTGGTATTTTCATACACTTGTGCTGGGCTAAACAGCAATTCAATTTTATCTAGTCTCATGAATGTTGAAGTATTAATTTCTTTTAGAAATTTCACAAACGTGCCTTTGGGACTGATCTAACTGCCCTTTTCATGTCTGACTTGACATCTGTTTCATCTAACAAAACATTTGCTTTGATTTGCTTTGTCTGTGCAAATGCACCATGAACATATTTTTATAACTGGAAGAATATCTAACCAGTTCCCTGAATATTACCTCTGATGGATTCTCTGTCAACAATCTTATCTGCAGGTTTTTGCTTGGTTAATTATCCTGTTATTCAATTGAAGATGGCCTTTTTTCTATTCTAGCCCAGGACAATTTACCTTTTGGCTCCACTTCCTTTACAGTTCCTTGTTTAAAATCAGTGTTTTAGAGACGTTTCACCAATCATTTTACTTCAAAGTGTCATTGTCTGAATTTTGTCTGAGTGAAGATTTAATATGAAAATGTTATCTGTTTTGAATTGCAATTGGCTGACAGGTTTGTAGTTGATTCAGATAACAGTACTATTTATGTAGAGTCTGAATGGGTATGAACAAGACCTATTTAATAATACAATCCCTAAAATGTGGAAACAAGCCATTTGGCTCAACAAGTCCACACTGACCCTCTGAAGAGCATCCCACCAGGTCCAGTCTGCCATCCTATCCCTGGAGCACTGCATTTCCCAAGGCTAACACACCTATGTTAAACATCCCTGGACACTTTGGGCAACTTAGCATGGACCAATCCACCTAACTTGCATGTCTTTGGACTGTGGGAGAACACCAGAGCATCCGGAGGAAACCTATGCAGACATGGAGAGAATATGCAAACTCCACACAGTCTCCCGAGGGTGGAATTGAACCCAGGTCCCTGGTGCTGTGAAACAATAGTGTCTAACACCTGAGCCACCCTACCACCCTGATTTGTTGAAAAAATACTACTGTTTGAAGCTGGAGTTTGGCTTTATTACAGTTTAATTCAAATGCAATATTCCAGATTTATCTTTTCCCTCCTTTTATATAAACCTTTGAAAAATAGAATAAACATAATCTCTCTAGTATTTCTGTTCCATCTTGTAAAGCCTGAGTTCTACAGTATATTTCTTGCATCTAGTCTCCAGAGACCAACTTTGTGTCTTGATGACAACTGATGGAGCTTGGTTTTTGTTCTGTTTTATTCTGCTGTTTTGGAAATGTAAATGCAATCTCCAGTTGCCTTTAGTAGTATCTAAACATTTTATTGCACATTGGGGTGCTGGAGAAAGTCAGGTGTGACAGCATCTGTGGATGGAGAAACACTAACATTTTGAGTCCAGAATGAGTTCTTTAGAACTTCATATGGACTTGACATTAACTCTGTTTCCCTTTCCGCAGATGCTGCCGCACCTGCTGAGTTTCTCCAGGATTCGGTTTTTGAGATTTCAAGCATCTGCGGTGTTTTTCTTTTATCATCAAAGAACCGATAAACTAATTTGTAACAAGACTTTCATCTCTTTTGTATTGATTACAGTTAAGTTTTTTTTTTCAGTCATAATCTAACATTTGCATCTACCTTCCAAGAACAATCCATGAACGTAGGCACCTTCCCTTGGTGGATGACTATAATCTTCTTTAGTCTTCTTGGTGACATCCACAGCCAGGCACATCTTATCCAAAGGCCACTCGTTCTTTCGGGCTACGCTCTGCATAATTGCTGAAGAACTTAACAATTAGTATTCTTCTCCTTCGGCATTGGCCAAAATTTGAAAAATACCATATGACCTGTATTGTTAATACTACCTTTGTGTCTTTACCAGGTTTCCGACCTGCTTAGGATCCAGTATTTTCTGTTTTAACTTTTGAGTAATATCATTGGTAGGGCTGGGTTATTTTACGTTTCACTTTGGGAACTCTAGTTAAGCTGTAACTTCATTACATTACCCTATACCCAGATGATTCATATTCTTTCCAACATCAGCCATTGTTCCATTTTCAATTTATGAATCAGGCAAAATATACAGCCAGCAAAGAGATTATTTATGCATGAGACAACGGTGAACAGTAACTTTGTTTCTTCAGGCTGCCATTCAAACGTGATTTTAATGTATTGAGATTTGCCATGATATTCTGAAATTGAGCGAGCTGATTTAAATGCTATAACTTAATTTGTGTAGCACCTCAAAAATAGTAAAGCCTCCCAAGGTTTGTCCAAACCACAAGCTGTGACTATGAAACCAATCTCGTCCATTGCCCTTTACAGAAGGAGGGCTACTGTGCTTACCTCACCTGGCGTACAGGCAATTCTAGACCCACAGCAATATGATTGGCTCAATAGCCAAACAATTCAAGGGAAATTAGGGATTGACAGAAGCTGAGCTTGCAGTTGATGTCTTATTAAATCACTTTTTTTAAAAAACCCTGATAATTTAGCAACATTGCAGTACGGGAGAGGTAGTTGTGGTGAGTTAAGAGCTGGATGCCATTAGCACACAAAATCAATGCCTTCCCTTTGGCGATATAAGCAAAAGTCTAGAATTTAGATGAAAATGATGCCAAGGTCTGATCTTTGGGGAACATTGGAGGTAAGTGCTGGAGTAGGAAAAGAAGCCAGTGCAAGTGATTCTTTGGCCATGATCAGATAACAATGGAGTCCTGGACCGCTGTGGAGTGTTACTGGAGCAGGATTGTGCAGTCCATTATATTAAAGGCGGGCGATAGGTCAAAATGGATGGAGGCCTCTTTGTTTCACCTGTGTTCTAGTCAGACAGGATGTCATTTGTGACTAGTAGCCTTTTAGGTATGTGATAAGGATAGGAGCAGATGTGAACCTTTGAAAGTTAACATTGTTTTGGGAGGCAACAGCAGTTTCAAGGTATTTGGAGTTTGGTGTAAGGACAATGGTTTTTGAGGATATAAAAAGGTCAGATGTAAAGTATTTGGGGAAAACATCTAAACAGAGAATCATTTACAAGATTGGCTAATGTGGGCAAGAGGGCAAGTTGGATGGTTCTGGAGAGTCATAGTGGACATGAAATGTTAAACAGATTTACTCCTCAAATTTTGTCAGATCTGCTGAGTTTCTCTAGTTTCTCTTTGTATTTGGATTGGTAAAAGGGAGTTGAGGGAATGGAAGGGTTTTTTTCATTAACAAGATAAGCCCATGAAGCATGAGGAAAGATGAGAAAGAAACTAGAAAACAATGCAAGTTTAGGGCAGAGGCAGGTGGGAACTTTAGTGGAAGATTGGCCTGGGTAGTGAATGGAAGGCAGGGAAGTATACAGGCAGCTCTCAGTATCCATCTTGGAGATGAGGTTAAAAAAAATTCCAGAAGATAAAAAGCAGAAGACTTCCTTCAGACAAATACCGAAAATATCCACTGAACAATGAGCAAGTGGAGACCTTGCAAGGATCAGCCAGATCTCACATGCGCGGAATATTGGATTTGTAATTCCAATCTGTTTCTGCCACATGCCATAGTTGTTCAGTGTTCCTTGCCAAAGCTGATTGAATACAAGCCTGGTGTAGGTCCCTTGCAATGTGCTGCTGGATGCATTGTCAGGGTTAATGGAATGGCTAGGCTTCAGACTGTGTTTTGATGTTGACCGTAATAATGAGTAGCAAGCAAGTAAGAAGTGACCCATGTAATTTTTTATCTTTGCTAAAATGAACAAATGGAGAAAACTTTGATACAGCAACAAAGTCTCACTGACAAGTACAAGAGCTGACATTTACGGCCTGCCATTTGAAGGGCATGGGGAAACATAAAGTGGGTGGATACTACCCTAAGAAACTCCTACAGAGATGTCCTGGAGTCAGCCTGCAGAACACCACTGCTGCACTGTCCGAGCATAGTATATTGGCAAATGTCCCTTTGTGAAATGTAGTTGTATAATGTTCAGATAAAAGTTGGCATTATATCTGAACT